ATTTTAAGTGATACCTATTATCAACCAGCAAGACATGAACTTGGACTTAAACACTCAAGAAGCCAGTTATGAATCTACCAAGGCTATTTGTGACATCAGTCAAATTGTGAATGATTGACATTCTGAGGTGCCTCGGTGAGTTTCAATATTAAGTTTAATGCAATTTCACTATTTACTCTCAAACCTGAACATTGTACATTAAATTGGAACTTTTCTTGTTACTTATTTCTTTAATATAATTGATTTGATGTAAAATATTTAGTTGACAAATCCCAACAATATCATTTTTGAATAGTTTCACTTCTTTGCCTAATTTAGGCTGGTCCTTCGATTTATTTCCGTTATTATTTTTCTTATCTTCAACTACCTTTCCCCCACAAATTCTTGGTCCAAATCGAGCAGGATTATTTTGTTATCAGCCCTGTGGCCTTATAGTCTATTATCGAAACATCCATCTTACTTCTCATTCCTTCTGTCCCTACGTGTCTGACTGTACGTAACACGCCCATTGCAATATGCCCGGCAACAGATCAACAGATTTCAAGTCTGAAACTTACATACGTCTCACCAACTTGACAAAGGCTAGATTCTCTCATCTTTTAGAGATTATTAACAATTATGACACACCTATTACCAAATCGGACTTAAGAAAATTGACCAATTACCGCAATGAAATTCAAAGAAAATATGACGATTTTCTTTGCAATTTGGAACGTGTGGTTCAAGTTCAGGATGAGGGGAACATTACTGAGGAGCGTTTGGTAGCTGATCAAAACAGTGTATCAGACTTGTTCATAGAGTTGACCTCTTCTATTGATGATATGTTGTCATCTGGCGATGAACAACTTAGCCTACCTGGCTCGAACGCTGAATTAACTATACAGCATCAGTCATGTTCAGCGCGACTACCAAAACTTGAACTTCCTAAATTTAGTGGGAACTTCGCTGATTGGTCAAACTTCATCAATGTCTTCAATACGACAATTCACAAAAACGACACGTTAAACAAAGTAACTAAGTTTCAATACTTATTAAGTGTTTTGTCATCAGAACCATTGAACCTGATTAAAAACCTTTCACTTACTGAGGCTAACTATGACATTGCCTACGAAATGGTTTTCAAACGTTACCAAAATGACAGACGCTTACGCCTACTTCATCTCAATATTATTCTTGACTTACCAGACATTTCTAGTCGCAATGTTTCTGGAATTCGCACGTTTGTTAACAGCTACAATGAACATATTCAGGCGTTAACTGCAATCGATTGTGACATCAGCAATTCCAACCATTTATTGACGGCGTTGCTACTTCGGAAACTTGATGTGGATTTACGCAAACGTCTTGAAACATTCCGTGACAACAGACAGGCTACAGCTCACACATTGCCCTCTGCAGAAGAAATACTTGAATTTCTCACGTCCGAATGTGATCGGCATGAGGATGCAGTTGCTACCACATCGTGTTTTAAAGAATCACGTATCTCCCATGTTCCGGAAAAACAGGTTAACACACGTAAATTTATAACAAGTACAATATTCAACTCAAAACCTAAAACTCAACAAGTTACGTTGCTGTGTGCTGGATGTGATGGCACTGATCATAAAACTTACAACTGTGCCAAATTCTTAAAACTATCACCACAAGACAGATTCCAGGCAGTAAAATCACATCACCATTGTATTTCTTGCTTAGGAAATCACAGTTCTCAAACATGTCAGTCTCAGTCAGTTTGTAAACATTGTAGTAAACGTCACAACACCTTATTGCACTTTCCAACTGAAGAACTGACATTCACAAATAAAGTTGGACAATCCAATTCACACAAACGAAATGAGCAGTTTCGTCCATCCAATCTTAATACAGATGCACAAAATCCAATCACCTTGCATGTCCGTAATCCTCGAACCACCGTTTCACAAACAGCAATGGTCTTATTGGGAACTTTATTAATTAACATACGTAGTTCCAGTGGACAGGTTCAAACATTTCGTGCGCTTATTGATACAGGAAGCATGGCGTCTCTTATTTCTGAACGTGCTGTTCATTTACTGAATACTCCTCGAAGCAGATGTTTTACTCAAATTGTAGGCATCAGTCAGCAAAGTACAAAAACAAAGGGGCAAATAACAGCAAGCATTGAAACTTTATCGGGAATTACACTACAGCCGAACCATTCATTTGTTATACTTGATAAGCTTACACTGAACATTCCTCGTTGTCCAGTAGCTCCAGAGGTGGTTTCACGCTTGAAACATGAACAATTAGCAGATCCTAATTTTCATCTTCCTAACCGCATTGATGTCATTTTAGGAGCATCTTTGGTACCTCATTTATTCACAGGTCCTGTTACATCACTCGGCAGCACATTGCCATCAATAATTAATACTCCATGTGGTAACATAATTATTGGTACTACTCCATGTACACCTGATACATTGCAATCATGCACATCTCAATCGAGTACTTTAAATATTTGTTTGCATACTACAAGTTTAAATGATATACACGATTCCATTCAAAGATTTTGGCTCTTAGAAGAAATCCCAAATCACAAACAACAATCCCAAGAAGATATTCATTGTGAAAGGTTATTCGCAGACACTCATACCAGAGACGAACTCGGTAGATACATTGTACGATTACCGTTTAAAGGCTCATCCAAAATGTTAGGTTCGTCCATTGATGCAGCTAAGCAACGTTTAATTGCAATGGAACGTAAGTTTTCACGTAACGAACGTTTTTCTATGCTGTATAAGGATTTTATGCATGAATACTTATCTCTTGATCATATGTCTCTCATAGATGTATCGTCATTAACTCCGCAACATTATTATTTACCTCATCACGGGGTGTTAAAAGAATCTAGTTCAACAACTAAGCTTCGCACTGTATTTGATGCAAGTTGCAAAACTGATTCTGGCCATTCACTCAATGACTTGTTACTGACTGGTCCAGCATTGCAACCTAACATAGCTGACATTCTGACTCAGTTCAGAAGACATCGTATTGTCATGTGCTCAGACATCAAACAAATGTATCGCCAAATTGTGATTCATCCTTCGGATCGTAACTATCAGCTGATTCTATGGCGCGATTCACCAAATAAGCCTATGCAAACATATCAACTTAACACTGTTACATATGGTATGAATTGTTCTCCATATCTAGCTATTAGAACCTTGCACCAGCTAGCTACTAATGAAGGTCACAAGTACCCTCAAGCAGCCTATGCAATAAAACACCATACATATATGGATGATATTATTACTGGCTCAGACACTTTGGAAGAGGCCATACAACTTAAGACTCAACTTACTCAGTTATTGCAATGTGGTCAATTCGAACTTCGCAAGTGGATGTCAAACTCAGAACAGTTGCTTCAAGATCTTCCTGAGTCACATCGCGAAACTCCAAAATTTGTGTCTGAATCCTCCTGTCCTCAATTTACTGTATTAGGTCTCCAATGGTCACCTACGTTGGACGTTTTCACTTACGTTACCACTAATCTAGATTCTAACGCAAATCTTACAAAACGACATGTTCTTAGCGCAATCGCTAAAATCTATGACCCGTGTGGATTCTTAACTCCATGCATCATGATAGCCAAGTGTATTATGCAACAAATCTGGATTCTTGGAATCAGTTGGGATAGCATTTTACCTGATTCTATTATCGATCAGTGGAAACGATTCTCTGATGATACTCAATATTTATCAAACATCACCATACCACGTTCTTTAAATCTGCATTATTTAAAATGCATTGAGCTTCATGGTTTTGCGGACGCCTCAGAAACAGGATTTGCTTGTTTAATTTATTTCAGATGTGTCCATCTTGATGATTCAGTCACCATAAACTTCGTTATGGCAAAAGGTCGTGTCGCTCCATTACGTTCCACGACAATACCTCGTTTAGAGTTATGTGCAGCTCATTTGCTGTCAAAGTTGACATCTCATTGCACATCATTGTTTCCCAACATGTTTAATACAAACAACATCTTCTTGTGGTCTGATTCCACAATTGTCTTAACCTGGATCAAAACCCCAGCTTACCAACTTAAAACTTTTGTCGCCAATCGAGTTGCCGCAATTCAAGAATCGCACTCCACTGAAGTGTGGCATCACGTTAACACTAATGACAATCCTGCTGACTGTGGTTCTCGTGGTTTACGAGTCAAACAGCTGCTAGAAAATCATATGTGGTGGTCAGGGCTTTCACGTCCATCAACAGATTGGCCAAAGCAAGAGCATCCAAAACCTGACTTTAATTCTGAAGTTTCGTCCGAATTAAAACCAACACCGTTGCCTGTGTTTGTAACTACAGGTGTCACTGAATGGCAACCACTGAAATTTTATTCATCGTGGACAAAACTCGTGCGTATAATTGCAATTGTTTTACGATTCAAACACAACTGTTTGAATAAACAGAATCGTATCATAGGTTTCATCACAACTGACGAATTGCGCACATCTACATTAAAGATCTTTCACAGAGTCCAATCAGAAGTCTTCGCCACTGAAAAACAGGAACTTCAAGCTAACCACTGTCCTAACAAACTTAAACCACTCCATCCGTTCATTGATGACAATGACATTATTAGTGTCGGAGGGCGTCTTCAGAATTCTGAACTTCCATACCAGTCAAAACATCCGATATTATTACCTAAATCTCACCACATCACAAATATTTACATAGACTACTGGCACATTACCTACTTGCATGCCGGTCCTTTATTTATCCAATCCATCTTATCTCGTTGTGTATGGATCTTAAACGCACGAAACATTATTCGAAAACGGATCCACAACTGTGTCACATGTTTCCGACACAAACCAACAAACACCATTCCATTGATGGCGTCTTTACCGAAACCCAGAGTCACACCATCTAAACCATTCTTGCATACTGGAACTGATTTCATGGGACCATTTGATACCAAAATAGCTAACATGAGATTTCTTAAAATTACCAAAACCTATGTCTGTTTGTTCATCTGTATGACTACTAAAGCAGTGCATCTAGAACTTGTAACTGACTTGACAACAGAAGCATTCATCGCAGCGCTCACTAGATTTATTAGTCGTCGAGGAATTTGTTCTCACATCTACTGTGACTGTGGCACCAATTTCAAGGGTGCTGCTAATGAATTAAACCGTATCACACAGCACACCATCGCTTCTTCAGATGCACGTGATAAATTACAAAGCCACTTTGCTCCATCAGACATCAGGTTTCATTTCAATCCTCCTTGTGCCCCTAATTTCGGTGGCCTATGGGAAAGAACAGTTCAAAGCGTTAAACGACACCTAGTTAGAGTTATTGATAAAACCATCCTCACACTTCCTGAAATGATGACATTATTAACGCAGATTGAGGCAATTCTTAATTCAAGACCTCTTACACCTCTCTCGACCGATCCTCAAGAACTAGATGTACTTACTCCAGGACATTTCTTGACAGGTGCACCATTAGTTTCCATCCCTGAACCACGTCTACTCGATGTGTCACCCAATCGACTTTCACGTTGGCAACAAGTGCAACAATTTTCACAACATCTATGGAAACGATGGAGCCTAGAATATTTGCATCATCTCCAGCAACGTCACAAGTGGACAAAATCGACTGCAAACATCAAGATTGGTGATCTAGTTCTCCTGAAAACCTCAACTCTACCATGCCATTGGCCAACCGGCCGTATCAGTGAATTACTTCCTGGGAAAGACAACATTGTCCGTGTGGTAAAAGTCAAGACCACTGATGGAGAATACATTCGCCCAGTGTCCCAAGTCTATCCAATGCCAATGAGTGACACCAACTTTGGTTGAACCAGACGTTCAACGGTGGCCGGCGTTGTTGCGTACTAGTTCATCACTTTTCCATATTTTCATTCAAAATTGATTTCAATATATTATAATTTTATTTTTTCTTTGTTCTGAATACAATTTCCTATTTTTCTTTCCCATCCCAATTTCTTGACAGCTGAAAGTTATTTAATTTAATGTTTATTTACATCATATTTTTGATTATTATAAAAAAAAACATTGTATTTCTATCTTCAGTACAATCACCACACATAATTTTTGTTCTCAATTTTATTTTAAAAAACTACATACATTTGTCTGGGATTCAAGCTAAATATTCATTTTAACTTGTAAAACTACTTTATACAATTCTTATCATGAACATAACTAAATCTGCATGAATGAAAAGACATTTTAAGTGATACCTATTATCAACCAGCAAGACATGAACTTGGACTTAATCACTCAAGAAGCCAGTTATGAATCTACCAAGGCTATTTGTGACATCAGTCAAATTGTGAATGATTGACATTCTGAGGTGCCTCGGTGAGTTTCAATATTAAGTTTAATGCAATTTCACTATTTACTCTCAAACCTGAACATTGTACATTAAATTGGAACTTTTCTTGTTACTCATTTCTTTAATATAATTGATTTGATGTAAAATATTTAGTTGACAAATCCCAACAATATCACTTTTGAATAGTTTCACTTCTTTGCCTAATTTAGGCTGGTCCTTCGATTTATTTCCGTTATTATTTTTCTTATCTTCAACTACCTTTCCCCCACACTCCTGATACTCATGATACTCATACTACTTTTGATACTCTTGATACTCATGATACTTTTGATACTCTTGATACTCATGATACTCATGATACTCTTGATACTCATGATACTCTTGATCCTCTTGATACTCTTGATACTCATGATACTCATGATACTCATGATACTCTTGATACTCATGATACTCTTGATACTAATGATACTTCTGATACTCATGATACTCATGATACTTTTGATACTCTTGATACTCATGATACTTTCGATACTCTTGATATTCTTGATACTCCTGATACTCGTGATACTTTTGATACTCTTGATACTCATGAAACTCTTGATACTCTTGATACTTATGATACTCCTGATACTCTTGATACTCGTGATACTCTTGATACTCTCGATACTCTCGATACTCATGATACTCTCGATACTCTTGATACTCATGATACTCATGATACTCATGATACTAATGATACTCTTGATACTCTTGATACTCCTGATACTCTTGATACTTATGATACTCTTGGTACTCTCAATACTCATGATACTCTCGATACTCTTGATACTCATGATACACATGATACTCATGATACACTTGATACTCATGATACTCATGATACTCTTGATACTCATGATAATAATGATACTCATGATACTCTTGATACGTTTGATACTCATGATACGATTGATACTCATGATACTCATGATACTCATGATACTCTTGATACTCATAATACTAATGATACTCATGATACTCTTGATACTCATGATACTCTTGATACTCATGATACTCATGATACTCTTGTCACTCATGATAATAATGATACTCATGATAATCTTGATACGTTTGATACTCATGATACTCTTGATACTCATGATACTCATGATACTCTTGATCCTCTTGATACTCTTGATACTCATGATACTCTTGATCCTCTTGATACTCATGATACTCATGATACTCTTGATACTCATGATACTCATGATACTCATGATACTCCTGATAATCTTGATACTAATGATACTCCTGATACTCTTGATACTCATGATACTTTTGATACTCTTGATACTCATGATACTTTTGATACTCTTGATACTCATAATACTCATAATACTCTTGATACTCATGATACTCATGATACTCTTGATACTCTCGACACTCATGATACTCTCGATACTCTTGATACTCTTGATACTCATGATACTCCTGATACTCTTGATACTCATGATACTCTTGATACTCTCGATACTCATGATACTCTCGATACTCTTGATACTCATGATACTCATGATACTAATGATACTCTTGATACTCTTGATACTCCTGATCCTCTTGATACTTATGATACTCTTGTCACTCTCGATACTCATGATACTCTCGATATTCTTGATACTCATAATACACATGATACTCATGATACACTTGATACTCTTGATACTCATGATACTAATGATACTCTTGATACTCATGATTTTCATGATACTCTTGATACTCATAATACTAATGATACTCATGATACTCTTGATACTCATGATACTCTTGATACTCATGATACTCATGATACTCTTGATACTCATGATAATAATGATACTCATGATACTCTTGATACGTTTGATACTCATGATACTCTTGATACTCATGATACTCATGATACTCTTGATCCTCTTGATACTCTTGATACTCCTGATACTCTTGATACTCTTGATACTCCTGATACTCTTGATACTCATGATACTCTTGATACTCTCGATACTCATGATACTCTCGATGCTTTTGATACTCAATATACTAATGATACTCTTCATACTCATGATACTCTTGATGCTCATGATACTCTTGATACTCATGATACACATGATACTCATGATACACTTGATACTCTTGATACTCATGATACTCATGATACTAATGATACTCTTGATACTCTTGATACTCATGATACTCTTGATACTCATGATACTAATGATACTCATGATACTCTTGATATTCTTGATACTCATGATACACATGATACTCATGATACACTTGATACTCTTGATACTCATGATACTAATGATACTCTCGATACTCTTGATACTCTCGATACTCATAATACTCTCGATACTCTCGATACTCTTGATACACATGATACTCATGATACTAATGATACTCATGATACTCTTGATATTTATGATACTCATGATACTCTTGATACTCTTGATACTCTTGATACTCTTGATACTCATGATACTTTCGATACTCTTGATACTCTTGATACTCCTGATACTCATGACACTTTTGATACTTTTGATACTCATGATACTCTTGATACTCTTGATACTCTTGATACTCATGATACTCCTGATACTCTTGATACTCATGATACTCTTGATACTCTCGATACTCATGATACTCATGATACTCTTGATACTCATGATACTCATGATACTCTTGATCCTCTTGATACTCTTGATACTCATGATACTCTTGATCCTCTTGATACTCATGATACTCATGATACTCTTGATACTCATGATACTCATGATACTCATGATACTCCTGATACTCTTGATACTAATGATACTCCTGATACTCTTGATACTCTGATACTTTTGATACTCTTGATACTCATGATACTTTTGATACTCTTGATACTCATAATACTCATAATACTCTTGATACTCATGATACTCATGATACTCATGATACTCATGATACTCTTGATACTCATGATACTCTTGATACTAATGATACTTCTGATACTCATGATACTAATGATACTTTTGATACTCTTGATACTCATGATACTTTTGATACTCTTGATACTCATGATACTCATGATACTCTTGATACTCATGATACTCATGATACTCTTGATACTCTTGATACTCTTGATACTCTTGATACTCATGATACTTTCGATACTCTTGATACTCTTGATACTCCTGATACTCATGATACTCATGATACTTTTGATACTCTTGATACTCATGATACTCATGATACTCATGATACACTTGATACTCTTGATACTCTTGATACTCTTGATACTCATGATACTCATGATACTCATGATACTAATAATACTCTTGATACTCTTGATACTCCTGATACTCTTGATACTCTTGATACTCCTGATACTCTTGATACTCATGATACTCTTGATACTCTCGTTACTCATGATACTCTCGATGCTTTTGATACTCAATTTACTAATGATACTCTTGATACTCATGATACTCTTGATACTCTTGATACTCTTGATACTCATGATACTCTCGATACTCTTGATACTCTTGATACTCCTGATACTCTTCATACTCATGATACTTTTGATGCTCATGATACTCATGATACTCTTGATACTCATGATGCTCATGATACTCTTGATACTCATGATACTCATGATACTCATGATACTCTCGATACTCTTGATACTCTCGATACTTATGATACTCTCGATACTCTTGATACTCATGATACTCATGATACTAATGATACTCTTGATACTCTTGATACTCATGATACTCTTGATACTTATGATACTAATGATACTCATGATACTCTTGATACTCTTGATACTCATGATACACATGATACTCATGATACACTTGATACTCTTGATACTCATGATACTAATGATACTCTCGATACTCTTGATACTCTCGATACTCATGATACTCTCGATACTCTTGATACACATGATACTCATGATACTAATGATACTCATGATACTCTTGATATTTATGATACTCATGATACTCTTGATACTCTTGATACTCTTGATACTCATGATACTTTCGATACTCTTGATACTCTTGATACTCCTGATACTCATGATACTTTTGATACTCTTGATACTCTTGATACTCATGATACTCCTGATACTCTTGATACTCATGATACTCTTGATACTCTCGATACTCATGATACTCTCGATACTCTTGATACTCATGATACTCATGATACTCATGATACTAATGATACTCTTGATACTCTTGATACTCCTGATACTCTTGATACTTATGATACTCTTGATACTCTCGATACTCATGATACTCTCGATACTCTTGATACTCATGATACACATGATACTCATGATACTCTTGATACTCGTGATACTTTTGATACTCTTGATACTCTTGATACTCCTGATACTCATGATGATTTTGATACTCTTGATACTCATGATACTCTTGATACTCTTGATACTCATGATACTGCTGATACTCTTGATACTCATGATACTCTTGATACTCTC